ACACTGCTTCGAGATCAAGCCACTTGTCACGTTCTCCATGCTCGATGCTCCAGATCCTTGCACGTTCGCACGTAGTAACTGCTGGAAACCGTTTTCCCTCCAAAGCTTTGAATTTCAAACTGCTCCACTCTGGACCATCGAACACGTTCGCCAAGAGACGTCTTCGACGAAAACTTCTTCGACGTCGAAGGCAATCAGCCTTCTTCCTTGGAAGAAATCTTCTAAGTAGTTGGCCATCTTTCGACGGGCACTTCGACAGGCTTAGCCAGTCGAAAGCATCTTTCAGCTTTTAATGGCTGCCATCAATCAAAACAAAGGTGTCGAATTTAGGAGCCAACATCATGACAGTTTGATGTTACTATTATTTATGTTTATGTTTCAAAAACTGTTTGAAACATGTTTTTCTACTTATGGATTTTATGGTGGAGACTGCTCTTTGGAGATTAAAATACATGTTGACCTTCAAGTCGTGGTGATTTATGCCGAAGTTGGGATGCTGTGAACACAGTGTTGAAGTTGCAGCTAGGTTCCATCAGAATGTCGTTTCAAAAAAGTATTGTCAATATTGAGCATTTGTATAACACTCCATTATATGTCAAGTTGCACGGCTTTGCCTTAAGACATTGGAAAAGAACTAGAAAGGGTAAAATTTGTTGGTTCAATCCAAGAGAGGTGTGGTTGTTTCATTAAACAATACATGGGTACCGTCTGCGTCCATCAACACTCTCAGTTGTTTTCCAAATTGTTCTATAAAATTGTCACTATAATTAGGAATATGTTACGAGTAGAACACTTGAGTGTGCAGGGTAGGAAAAATGGATGATGATTCCTGATATGGATTACCTGATTGCTTCTAGATACAGTGTTGTATTTTTTCTTCCTTTCCAGGAGACTTAACATCACATTTTTTCCACTTCTCACAGCTTCGCCCATGTACACAAGTAGGCATACAATCATTGTTGTTGATTTTGTCAACGGCAATCACTGGGTTCAGGTAAAGTTGAAATCTGATTGTCCATTGCCTCTCATCCCTGATCATTGGAGACAGAATTATACTGATGAAGCAAAAGCATGGGAATCATCATATGTGAGTCACTTTAGACACTAGAAAGATTTGTGTGGGAAGTGATTGTAATTTATTTTTTATGTGTATATGTATGACAATTATTCTATGTATATATTAAGTCGGGTAGCTATTTTACCGTTTCAATTTTCCAAGAAAAAGTTATGAAAAAAATGAAAAAATAAACATTTAGTGTTATCGGAAATTTGAAATTTCCAGAATTTTTAACACTTACCAGAAATTTCAAAATTTCTAGTATGTTGTATGAAATTTCTGGTATGCAACTATAAATTTAAAGTTTTTCCGGTATATTTTGAGGGTATTAATGTAAATGTGCCAAAAATAAGGAAATGTTAAGTATAAGTGTGGAAGTGACAAGTTAAATGCTTCACGATCTATTATTTAGGCTGTCAAATTGCAATTTCTAGAAAAATATAACTTGCACCCCACAAGTTGGATCAGACACCCCATATAACCCTTTATTAATCATAATATTTTTAAAGTTAAAAAATCAATTTTTCACATTTAAAATCTCATTTTTTGGATTTCTGCCAAAATTTAGTTTTCTACCGAAGATACTGGAAACACTGGATATTTATAAGTGTTATTTTTCATTTAATTTATGCATTTTTATTGAATATTTTGATAGAATATCCGATATTTGAAAAAACATGTATTTTCTGGTGTTTTGGAATTTCCTGTAGCAAATTTAGATAACTTAGAAATATTTGGTATAATCTCATGTTTTTGTTGCATTTTCATCGCATTTTAAAAATAAAATTGTATGAACATGGTGTTTTTATCCGCAATTTTGAAATAGTCGATAAAAGTGCCTATGTTCATATCTAATATTTACAAATTTTCTTTAAAAACAAATACATTTATACATGATTTTTCAAAATTGTTGGTATATGTAGTAGAGATGTGACCGAATATTTCAAAAAATTTAGTAGGTAAAAAAGATTAATTTTTTTGTAATGATGAGAAAAGGAAGAGAGGGCAAGATCATTCTTAAATTGATCGAGTGAGAAGTTGCAGAGAGCTCTAGTAGAGGAGGAGGAGATGAATGAGACAACCATCTAGAGATTAGAACGGGTAAAGTAGTCCTCATTGGTTCTCACCATATAAGGATTGAGCAGACTCTCAAACCGCATACTCTCTAACGTAGATAAGGTAGAGGTGGACGGAACAAACAAAGATCGTAATGTTGAGCCATATGTTGTCGTCATTGATGATGTTGAGGCAAGGATGACAGTTCAAGGTGATATTGCGGTTCCAATTCAAACGGATACAATTTTCTTATTTTGGCTGATATAGAGGTGTCGACTTAAGCTGATACATATGCGTTTGTTCAGGTTGACACATATGAGGTTTCCTAGAGGACCCTCTAACCTTACCTTCCTCATTAGGCATGTCGATCCTGTGACATTTATATTATGGCGAGGAGAGGTATAAATATTTTAATTTAAGTTATTTTTATTTATTACAGGTTAATTGAATGTAACCGATAATTTGTGCTTTATTTGTTATAGGACCACACTCCATTGAAGGTCCTTGTTTATGGGTTGAAGTTGAAGAAATTTTTGAAAGTACATATACCTGATCAGGTCATGGAGACTATTGTTGAAGTTGGCTTGTTGGTGGTGGTAGATTATTCGCTCACCATGCTTGACACTATATTATTGTCTGTTTTTGTTGGGAGATGACATATGGAGACATATTCCTTCCATCTTTTATTTATTGAGATGATGATTATCCTGGATGATGTCTCCATAATAATCCATCTCCTCCTTGTTGGTAACTTATTCATCCCTCAGGCGATGAACTAGCAAATTGCATGTATGACTATTGAGACATACTTGGGTGTTACATGGGAGTTGGTATTGGAGAAGTTCAAGTCGAACAAGGGTGCTCATTTTGGTCTCTCTTGGTTTCGGGATATTATCAGTCATTGATTGAGCATTCTATATATGAGGTGGCTGCTAGGATATTCGTGTAGCATCTAGTAGGATGTATTATCTTAGCATATAAGTCTTATGTATACATCTATGTTTGTTGAATTTAAGTCTCTTCATTGGGTATGGGGTAGCCATGCCTTGACGATACTATATATTGTCCTTATAGAGACGATTATCTTTGAGACGAGATAGCTTACTTTATATGAGTCTATTTTATGTATGAATATTTATTATGTTATATATATATATATATATATATATATATATATATATATATATATATATATATATATATATATATATATATATATATATATATATATATATATATATATATATATATTATTAGACATTTTCTATATCTAACTTGTTTTATTATGCTTTAATTTACTGTGTTGGATATACATGCATTTCTCGTCTATTTGTGACATGTGTGATTGTCATGATATATGGCTCTCCTATGGCCACTAAGTAGAGCTCGAGAAATTCTCATTCAAATTGTCTTCTGGAGTACATGCAAAGGATCAATGTTGTGACTATAGATGAGGTCATATGGACACCCTATACATACCACGGAATGCATTGGAGTTCGATAACACTTCCCTTTTTGAATTATCTGCGACGGGAGAGTTTTATGGCTGCATATTTACCTAAGAGGTGTTTGCGGCAGTTTGACTATGTTTAGGGTATTCCTAAAACAATTCTTGTTTGTGTGATATTGAGGACATTGATAGATGGTTTATGTTTAACATTGTGAGTATTGTCATTGATATTATAATAAATGCAGAAGAGGTGTCTTTTCTTAGACAGTATCTAGATAGTTATTTAAAATAGTACTTTAGAATATCACACCCTCACATTATTTCATTTATTTAGTCTACCGGTAATGTTAGACCATCACATGATGGAAGACATTTAGATAACATGTCACCTCTTCCACCTTATATGATTGACCCGTAACAACTGCAAATGATAATACTTCTTTCGCATAACCTTATGAGTTTGATTAATGTAAATAGTGAGATTTATACTCGATTATCACATATAACACACATTGTCCATAATAGACTAGTGTATCTTTTATTTTATTTTTATTTTTGTCGCTGACATTATTTTTTGGTTTGTACTGAATTATTTATATTTATCTTAACATTGTGTTCCATGAAAATCATCATTACATTACTATGGCACACATAATATTGCATAACATGAAAAGTAACAATGAACGAAATTTCTGAACATAATACTTCTTTCATTATCAATAGAGGTGTGTTCTCTATGATACTAAAATCAATATATCAATAGAGGTGTGTTCTCTATGATACTAAAATCATTAAAAGACTCCCGTTTAAGGATACAAATACAAAATATCAAAATTGAGACATTGTATTGTGAGATGTTTTTGTTAACTATAATTTTAAATCATTATAAATCGTAAAAAGTGTTGGTGTAATCACAACTTCATAAAAGTGCCGGCACAACCACATTCCAAATGTCTTGATTTTTTTCAAACAATTCGATAAAAGCACATACTAGACAGGATTTTGTAAGAGAGAAAATTACAAAAATTAGAGAGATAAAAAATGAGAGGAATAATTTTGACAAATATCAAAATAAATGAGGATGTAAAGACCAACTTTAGGTTGCCAAGTATATTCCTCCAATTTCTTCAAGATAGAGTTTAAAGCCACTAAAAACCATACTCAGTTTTAAATCATTGCTCTAAACATATAAAAGTTCTTGATATATGAAGGATATGAAAGACTTATAAATTTTTATGAAACAAAAAATGACATGAATTCAAATTTATCACTTCCCTCATTCCTCATCAACCAAAGCAGATCTCAATCTATGTTTACAAATACAGTTTGTTTTTTTCCTTTTATTTGAACAGGCATCCGAAACAAAAGCTCTTTCACTTTTCTGCTCAAAACTGTTTTTTTGCCGTGATCAACCTACAACAATAGTTAGCCTAAGACTTAAATAGTAAGGCCTTGTGGGGCAGCAGCCACAGGTGCTTTGGGCTTGGGCTTTTCGACGACGATGGCTTGTGTGGTTAAGACCATCCCTGCTACTGAAGCAGCATTCTGCAAAGCACACCTTGTTACCTTGGCAGGGTCAATGACTCCAGACTCGACTAAATTCTCGTAAGTGTCTGTCATGGCATTGTAACCAACCTCCCATTCACCATTCTTAATTTTCTCCACAACTACTTCACCCTCTATTCCTGCATTTTGAGCAATCAATGATGCAGGTGCTACCAATGCCTACATAGACAAAAGAAAAATGTTGATGTTATTTGCGCAAATTTGTGCGTTGTAAGCGTGGAACATGTTGAAAAATATGTACAAATTGATCATTCTCACCTTTTGAACAATGTCAGCTCCTAGCCTCTCATCTGCGTCTTCAAGCTTCTCCTTAATTGCTGGGACATAAGCAGATAGATGAACCAATGCAGTGCCTCCACCAGGAACAATACCTTCCTCAATGGCGGCAAAAGTTGCATTCTTAGCATCCTCAATACGGAGCTTACGATCCTCCAATTCGGTCTCTGTGGCAGCACCAACCTTGATGACTGCAACTCCACCAGACAACTTTGCAATCCTCTCAGCCAGTTTCTCAGAATCATAAATTGAGTCTGTCTCAGACAACTCTTTCTTCAGTTGTGCAACCCTGGATTGCAACTCATCCTTTGATGCAGCATCGGCAATAATAGTGGTAGAATCCTTAGAGATGGTCACTTTCCGTGCCAAACCAAGTTGTTCAATTGTGGTGTTTTCAACAAGAAGGCCAAGATCACTGGCTTGGAACTCAGCACCTAGCAATTAACGGCACAAAATTGTCAAAGAAAAAGAATCATGACGGAAAAATAATCTACTTTAGAACAAATCTTTGTTTGGGCATCATGATGACAAAAACTACTTGAACACGCGGAACAAATATCAAGAGTAAGTACTATAAATTAAATAAATTTTGAATACAATTAACCTTCATTTGAATACTACCTAAATTTCATGAATGGACATTATGATATATATTCCAAAAAAAAAAATTAAAAACAGAGGAATCTCATATACCTGTCAATATAGCAATGTCTTGAAGAAGAGCCTTTCTTCTTTCACCAAATCCTGGAGCTTTGATGGCAGCGACATTAAGGATACCACGCAGCTTATTGACAACAAGGGTCGCCAAAGCCTCACCAGTGATATCTTCGGAAATGATAAGCAATGGGGCTCTCAATTGAGTGGTTTTCTCCAGCAGAGGAATTATATCTTTGATTGCTGAAATCTTCTGATCGGTGATCAAGACTCTCGCGTTCTCAAATTCAACAATTGATTTCTCTAGATTTGTAACAAACTGAGGGGAGATATAACCTCTGTCAATCTGCAGGTCACATAGCAAACAGTAAATTACTATAGCTGCATAGTTAGAAACATAACTTGATAGCTTAATCTTTTTCTACTCATTACAATCATCCTTTTGGAAAGAAAGTGAGAAATTATTAGACCCAAAAGAGAATTCATACCTCCATTCCTTCTTCAACTTCAACTGTTGTCTCAAACGAGGAGGAAGACTCGATGGATAAAACACCATCAGGTCCAACCTTGTCAATTGCTTCAGCAATCATTTTTCCAATCAACTCATCATTTCCAGCAGAAATAGTAGCAACAGCTGTTACAGCATTAAAACTCATCAAAACAAGATCCTAACAAAACAACCAATGAAAAAAAAAACAGAAACAAATGTTTTTTTAGTAACACCAATACCTTTTATATCATCTCCACCTTTAACAGGCCTAGCCAACCTCTCAAGCTCTTCAACCAAAGCCGCCACCGTTTTATCAATTCCTTTCTTGATAGACACGGGATTAGCACCAGATGTTACATTGAGAAGTCCAAGCCTAATAATTTCCCTAGCAAGAATCGAAGCCGTTGTAGTCCCATCACCAGCAGAGTCATTAGTTTTACTTGCAACCTTCAGTTTGAAATCATCACATCATCAGTAACCAAACACCATATAACACATATATCTTCATAACAAACACAAACAATTTACACCACTGTTAATAAATTGTCACATACCTCCCTAATAAGGGCTGCACCAGCATTTTCCATGGGATCGGGAAGCTCAATAGCTCTGGCAATTGTCACACCATCGTTTACTACCTTAGGACTTCCAAACTCATCCAAAACGACATTTCTCCCTTCAAAAAACACCACATTTAAAATTTCTTATTACTTCACACAAACAAATCTCAGCTTACAAATATAATATTGATTGATATATTTATAAGCATTTCCCTCCTAATATTAAGGGCGTGTTTGGATGAGCTTATTTTAACTTATCTACTTCCATAAGTTTTGTGAGACGGTTTGGGAGGCTTAATCAAAACAGCTTATGACATTTTTCATAAACTTTTTGAGCTTATTTTTACAAACAACTTATAACACATATAAAAAAAATTCAAATTTATTTCATCTTTTGTTATAAAAATAGCTTATGCGGGCTTATTGATAAGCACATAGTTTGATAAGCCCTTGTACTATAAGTTGCAACTAGCTGTTTATCCAAACAAAGATAGCAGAAAATAGCATAATGTTGAAATTCTGTGTTAGGGTTACCTCTGGGTCCAAGAGTGAGACCAACAGCATCAGCAAGTTTATCAATTCCGGCTTGCATCGCGGCGCGTGAATGTTGGTCAAAGGCGATATCTTTGGCAGCTGCTTTAACCACAAAACGGTTAGGTTTCTGCCTGAAATTGACCCGTCCATGTTGCTTAACCTTCCTGCTAAGACTGGTTTGTGCCTGAAATGAAAAATTGAAACGAATCAGAATCGATTTTTTGGTAATTATTTAGGGAGAAATGGAAATGGAGCAGAGATGGTACCTGGTTGTTGGTTGGAGAACGCAGAATTGAGGTTGAGGATAGAGCGTTGGTTGAAGCCATGTTTGGAAGAGTGTGGATAAGATGGTTTGTTAGATAGAATGAACGAACTCGACGATGAGAAAGGTTTAGGGTTTGGGATTTTATATTAAGTTGTGAGTTTCTAGAAAACTCTTATTGCTCACCAATTGTTGAAAATCTATCCTTCATTTTGTCACTTAGTCCATACTAATAACCCATATAGGTAGGTATCTTTGTATCTAATAAAATAGAACGGAGCAATTTTATTGTTTGAATTTGTAAATAATAGATCGAATGAGATTGAGTTTGATAGAATTCATTTTTTCTGATTTAGAGTGTATATAATAGAATCAGGTGTTATTAATAATAATGGAGTAGAATATATATTTTATTCTGGTTTGTTCCATTTCATTTTATTATGTTTCACTTTGCTTCTTTATGTTCTATTTCATCTATTTAAACATAGTCTTAATCTTTTTTATTAGTTACTCTCTAGTCATTTTATCTATAAAGGATTATTAGTCCTACTTTAAAGCGTTGAGTAGTTTAAAGGATTTAAGGTGCCTAATTATATAGAGCTTTTGGTATTATGACACAATGGACATCATTGAGATGATCCTTTTGAAAGATGATTTAGGTATTAATAGGATGAAAAATATTGCATTTATGACTGGTGTGATACGGTGGGAGAACTGACTTAGGTGTTTTGCGTTTGATCGTAAATATTGCGGTTAGCAAGAGTCGTCACCGACTTTTCTTTTATCCAAAAAGGAAAGGTGAAAAAACACATGAAAGACTTTTGAGATTAATTCTTGAGTTCATGGGGTAGATTATGAAAAGGGAATGTATTAGCACCCTTTTCATCCATGGTTTTCCATGGGCTCTTAGTTGCTTGCTAGATCACTTGCTTTTGGTTTGAAATTATGCTTTGTGTGGTTTTTGAAAGTATTTTGTAAAGAGGCCATTGTTTAGGCAATCTTTGTAATGATTCTCGTTCGTAAGAATGTATACAAAGATGTTTGATCTTTTGAAAATGTTTTCAATTTTGTAAGATGTTTGAAAGTGTATGTGATTGTTTTGAAAATAGCAAGGATGTTCGTTTTGAAATGAAGCAAGTAATTATGAGCAATCTACCTACTCAAATGTCTTTCTTGTTCATTTTCTTTTCCTTTGACATTGTTGTCTTACCATTGATTTGGTAACCAAACCTATCTTTGGATGTAAACGGAACGGGCGTGGGTCATCGTATGACCATGATTAGCAATGTTGTAAGGTATCTTAGCATTTTTCTTTAGGGACTAAGATCATTTTGAAAGGCAACTTAGATAGCGTCATCGAGGGACTATGATCTTGTATTTGCTTGTTTTGGCTAAGATACCTTACATGCGTAATATGGTCATTTTGTATAAGGCAACCAAGTGGATAACCCTAGAGGTGCTTGTGTGCAAATGTGTTGTTTTCATGCTTGATTTAGTCTTGAGTTAAGGTTTTGCTAAGTATTGCTTTTAGTCTTTCCATACAAATCCTAATTACTAGCGATTGTACATAAAGCGATAAATTGCGGAATTTTAAAGTTACTACGCTATTACAACATTTTTGGAGAGGGGTATACAATTGGTAAATAGGGATTGCAAGAAATTAAAACCCTAATTAGTCTATTACAATCAAATTGAATTTATACAAGAATTAGAATAAATAATGCACAAAATGAATTAAATATGCAAGAGGATAAATGTGAAGAAAAATGGATATTTTGTTTGATGTTTTATGAAAAGAAATTTTACCTTAACCTAATAAAATAAAGAAAATAATTTATTAAGTTTGAAATTGTTGAGAAAAGATTTTAGATGAAAACCCTAATTCTATTAATCAAAAGAAGATAAGTTTAAGAAAAGTATTATTTTTTGGCATTTCTTATCTTGAAAATATTTATAGCATTATAAAATATTTTTAGTCTTTTTGGTATTAAAATAATATATTTTAAATAGTGTGAAGAAAAATAAATAAATAATACCATATTAATTAATTTTATAAGGTTTACTTAAATAAATAAATAAAGTATGAAGAGTAAAAAAACTATTTTTATTTATGGAAAAATAAAATAAAAAAAGTCAAAATATAAAATATTATTTTTTGTATTTTATGATTTTTTGTATTTAAAAATAAATATATTTAAGAAAAGGTAAATGAAATAAATAAATAAATAAGTTAATTAATTGGGCTAGGGGGTGCCAAGAGCCAATATGGAGGTTAGTCAGCAAAAGCAAAAACAAACAAAAAACTAAACCCAAAAGGCCCAACGCCTATTTACTGAAAAATGACCAAAAAAATGTAAAACAAATGCAAAAAGGCAGCGTTGAGGTTCGAATCCATGACCTCTACCAATAACGTGTGCTGCCTTACCACTGGGGTGGCTGTACATCCATTAATACAAATGAAACAATAAATATGTAAGGTAAAACGTCTCCATGACCTGTACTTCGTCTTTAACCTTCAGCCAGCCGAACCACCTGTATCTCATCCCTTTCTCAACAAAAATGAAAAATGCAAACATGAAAGTTGTGCTATTTTTCCTCACGAATCCAACCATATAACTTATGTAAGCTAAAAGTCAAATATGAAGATTAATTTTGCTGGCCCTAAATTGAAACCTAATTTTTTCAGAAAGTTCAAATCTAAAATTCTCTACACACTGTCAATATAAATGGAAACTATGGACATGGTTAGCTTTAGAGCAATGATATCTACATTTTTACTTCAGAATGTATGCACAGAGGATGCTTGTATCAAGTTATTGAAGTTAGAAAACTTACCTCTTGCAGATGGATTCACGTATGGAGTTTGAGCAAGCTTTGAGGTGTCCTAAGAATCTGTTTAGCTTGACTGGATCTCCTTGAGTGTATTCCAACTCTTACTTTGTTTTGAAAGTCCCTGAATCTCCCTACTCAAGTCAACTTGCAAGCTTGATGTTTGAGAATGGTGAATAGTGACAGAGGGGTTACAGTCTTGAAACAGGAGCTTGGATTACTTGTCTATGATGTATGTAAGGTGTTTGAATGATTAAGAATTAAAACGCACGAGTGAAAATGGAGATGGAAAGTTTTTGCTCAAAACTGTCAAGTTGAGCAGTCTTGTACAGTAAGGGTGTTTGGGAGAGTTTTAGGATGCTTGAAATCGTGCCTTAGATTGCAATAAACTTGTTAATATGTATGGAAAAGATTAGAGCACAAAATCACTCCAGGCTTCTGAGTTATAGGGTTATGGCTCTATAACTTGCTTTTGAAGAAAAGTGAAATGACAAATCTCAAATGTTGTACAAGCATGTCCTAAGCTTCTTCAGGTCTTAGACACATTGCTTTTGGGTTATAGGGATTGTGTGTGCAGAAAGAACAAGTTAGAAGCTCAAGACAAGTTGACTTTTTGATTAAAGCAACTTTTCAGGAATGGAATGGTAACTTTCTTCCAAAAATGGCAAATTGGCTTGGGCAATGCTTGGAACACTTGGATAATAGCTCAAAAGCAAGTGCAATCTTATGATTATGGAGAGATATTGAGATTTAGAAGCCTTCAAAACAAGATTGTGCATCATAGGTTTGAAATTGGATTTTTGTTCATCACAAAATGCCTTGTAATTCAAGTGACAAAACACCAACTTCATCTCTTCGATTCTCCCTACTCAAGAATGGTCTCAAGGAGTTCTTGGACATTTTGGAAAGCTTGAATGTGCTATACAATCCATATTTGAATTTATTTTGAAGATTACCCTTGGAACTATATGAAAAAGCGCCATGAAGTTGGGTCAAAATCCTGACCAAATTAGGGCAAAATTTCACACTGTGTTTAGTTTCATGACCATATGTTCATAAAGTTATAACTTGAAATCCAAGAATTTTTGGAAGGAGTTGTGTAAAGAAAAGTTGTAGATTTCATGGAGATCTACAACTTTCATGTTGGAAGTTTCTCTTGAATCAACTTGCGTCATGGTGAGAAATTGGCTCAAAGTTGTGAAAAAACATGAAGTTTTCAACACTTGGAAAAATTTCTAAGTTTGAAAACTTTGACTTTTCAAAATGAAATCTTGAATTTTTTATTTCTTGATGAATAAGTTTCATATTTTGACATGTTTTCATGAATTATGATCTTTGGCACTTGAATTTGACCAAAAAGTCAAAGTTTGACTTTTCAGTATACAGTTGACTTTTGATCAGTTGACTACAAAATTCATATGCCAATCCATTGGACTTGCAATGTTTTGAACCATGACATTAGGTCAAAATGATGCATTTGGACTCTTGAGATCATGCCTTAAACTAATTGACCATTTTCTAGGTCAAAAATCAGAAATTGCCCTTTCCCAGTAAAAACCCTAATTTTGACCATTTTGCCCTTTTGATGATTTGATCAAATTTCTTGGGGAATTGTGGCCCAAACTTGATCAAATGATACATATGAGTTTATAATGTTGATATGGATAAAAAAATTATGAAGTTTGACTATAAATTGGCCATGGTTGATTTTTTTCCCCAATACAACTGATTTTTAGGTCAACTGCTCAATTGACTTAGCAAAAATGTGATTCAAGGCTTGAAACTTGGCATGATTAATCTTGGGGGTACATGATGATCCATGAAAGTCACATGGGACATTGGAAGTTCAAAAATCCTTGTGCAAATTCAAACCCTAATTTTGGTCATCAGTGTTTGAGGAGATGTCTTGAGTTGATCAAGCCCTAGTGCAGTCTTGAGCCCAAGGAGATCTTGTAAGAAAATTCTTGATAAGTGAGAGGGAAAATTTTAGGTTACAATAGCTTCCCCCGTTCAATCTTCTTAAGCCTGAGGAGTTAGATTGACATGGTTTGCCATTCGTGACTCGAAGGTGGAAGATGATTGGACACTAGAGTGCCCAGAAATTTGCACTCGGCAATGTGATGGTAGAGGGAATGGGCTTAAAGATGCCATTTGGAGAGGTGATATAAATTTGTTGGAGATGGGATTGTAGATGCCATCCAAGAGTGATTGTTGAGTTGTAATTTGTAATCTGAA